CCTCCCATTGCAACATCTATTTTACATTATCTTTATAGCCATCATGATAGAAGATCTGTTCCAGGAATGAGCCACCATGCCAGATTCTCTAGGCAGTTAGTGGAGGAGGTCAAATATCCTTATTGTCTTCAGCTCGAAATAATCCGCATACCAGAGTGGTGCTTCCTGGGGCAGCTTGCCCTGAGTACCATCACCACCCATTGTTAACTGTGCTGTTTAGGCAATATGCTATCTGACTCCCACTAGGTTCCTATAGATAACATCTCCCTAGAGCCTAGGTCACCATGGTAATGGGTGTTTGAGCTGTTTTTCGGGAATTAGAACCTCTTGTCCACTTTAGGCCAGTTGAGACCACTAACCCATCAACTGGGCCTTCGCAGATGTCTGATAAGCAACCTTTTGACGTCAAGAAGCTAAAAACTCCACCCTCAGGTCATGCTAATGCCACCATTTTGTGAATAAGCGTCCCATGAAGAGGCATGAAGTCTGACTACACTTGTGCGGGTCATCAATTACCTCACCTCACCTCACCTCCAATCATCTATCTCCACATTTCAGAACACCTTGCCTCATACCCCATAAATATCCCTGAGTCCCCATTATTGGGGAGGCAGATTTGAGACTTGTTCTCCAGTTTTCCTCTCTTGGCCGCTTTGTGATTAAACCCTCTCTGCAATCTCGGTGTCTCCGTGTTTGGCTTTCTGGTTGATGGGCAAAAATGAATCTAGTTCAGTAACAGTTTTTCATCATCAATGTGCATTGAATTTTATTAACTGCTTTTTCTGCTTCTATTGAGATGATTATGTGGTATTTCTCCTTTAATCTTTTATTATTTTTGGTGAGGAAGATTGGCCCTGAGCTAACATCTGTTGCCAATCTGTTACCGAACCGGGTTCGTTTTGCCCACCTCACAGAAAGCCAATCACCGAGACGACGAGATTGCAGAGAGAGGGTTTAATCACAAGGCAGCCACGTGAGGAAACGGGAGAATGAGTCTCAAATCCGCTTCCCGGGGGGGCGGGGGGGGCGGAGGGGGGGCGGTGGCGCAAGCGGTTAAGTGCACGCACTCCGCTGCGGCGGCCCGGGTTTTGCAGGTTCGGATCCCAGGCGCTCCCCGACGCATTCCTTGACAAGCCATGCTGTGGCAGCGTCCCATGTAAAGTGGAGGAAGATGGGCATGGATGTTAGCACAGGGCCAGTCTTCCTCAGCAAAAAAAGAGGAGGATTGGCAGATGTTAGCACAGGGCTCATCTCCTCACCAAAAAAAAAAAAAATCAAATCCACTTCCCCAAAAATAGGGACTCAGGGATATTTATCCAGATATTTATCCAGGCAAAGTGGTCTGAAATGTGGAGATAGATGATTGGAGGTGAGGAGAGGTGAGGTGACTGATGATCCGAGCAAGCGTAGTCAGACTTCATGCCTTTTCATAGGATGCATGTTCACAAAATGGTGGCGTTGGCATGACCCGAGGGTGGAGTTTTTAGCCTCTTGACGTCCAAAGGTCACTTATCGGACATCTGCACTGGCCCAGTTGATGAGTGGGTGGTCTCAACCAGCCTGAAGTGGACAAGGAGTTCTAATTCCTGAAAAACAGCCCGAACATCCATTACTGTGGTGACCCAGGCTTCAAGGAGATGTTATCTATAGGAATCTAGTGGGAGTCAGATAGCATATTGCCTAAACAGCACAGTTAACAATGGGCGGGTAAACAGCTAAAAGCTGTAGCCAATAATTGCAAAAAGGAAAAAAACTTTAGTTCCTAGCTACTTAATCATCAATGGCTAACTGTTTGCTGGTTTCAAATCTTCCTCTTTTTGCTTGAGGAAGATTGTCCTTGAGCTAACATCTATGACAATCTTCCTCTGTTTTGTATGTGAGATGCTGCCACAGCATGGCTTGATGAGTGGTGTGTAGGTCTGCACCCAGGATTGGAACCCTCGAACCCTGAGCCACTGGAAAAGAGCACGTGAACTTAACCACTACGCAACCAACCGGGCTGGCCCTCCTTTAATCTTTTAATGTGGTAAATGCCATTAGCTTTCTAATGATAAATGATCCTCGAATTCTTAGATTAAACCAATTTGCTCATGGCTTATTATCTTTTTAAACATTGCTAGATTTCTTTTTTTTTTTAATTTTATTTATTTATTTATTTTTCCCCCAAAGCCCCATTAGATAGTTGTATGTCATAGCTGCACACCCTTCTAGTTGCTGTATGTGGGACGCGGCCTCAGCATAGCCGGAGAAGCTGTGCGTTGGTGCGTGCCCGGGACCTGAACCCGGGCCACCAGCATCGGAACGTGCACACCTAACCGCTAAGCCGCTGGGCCAGCCCCAACACATTGCTAGATTTCATTTGCTGACATTGTTTGGGATGTTTGCCTCTATGTTTATGAGTGAAATTGGATTATAATGTCACTTTATTTTACTTTCCTTGTCGGGTTTTGCTATCAAGGTTATATTGGCCTCATAGAATGAATTGGGGAGTATTTAATCTTTTTTCTATTTTTTAGAAAGGTTTGTTGTCTTGTGGTAGAGATTGTGGGCTTTATGATATGGAAATTAATAAAAGAAATCTTAACTAAACTGGAGTTGGAAAGGCCTGTGCCAGGAGCTCTCACCCCCATTACACATCATCAATAACACCAAACAGTAAGAGAGGACATTGCATCTCCCACTAAACCTACTTTACTACTGAAGAAAGATTTCTCTGGCTGACTGCCAACAGCCCAGCCAATCAGAAGTACCACAGCTCAGCCAATGAGGAGCTGTTGCTGTCCTGATCTGTCACTTTCCTCCAATGGACTTTCGTTTAGAACAGCCCCTCCCTACTCCCCCTTTTTCTCTATAAAAGCAGCTTCTCACCTTTGTTTTCTGGGTTTGCCTATGGTTTGCTATAGCATGCACATCTTGAATTGCATCCTTTTGGCTGTTCCTGAATAAACTCATTTTGAGGATAAAATAACAGGCAAATTTGCTTTTTAAGTTGACAACGACACATTCTTTTAAATCTATTGACATTTGCTTTATGTCCTTATGTTTGATCAATTCTTGAAAATGACCCATGTGTGCTTGAGAAAAATGTCTGTTCTCTGTTGGATACAGGGTTCTATACATGTCCTTATGTCAAGCTTGTTAATTTCTTATTAAAATCTTCTATATTTTTACAGATTTTGGGGCTGTTTAATCAATAAATTTTGAAAGGGACATATTGAAATCCCCTTTTATGGTGGTGTATTTGTTTTCTCTATAGTTCTGTCATCTTTTGCTTTGCATATTTTGAGGCCATTTTATTAGGTGCACACAAGTTTAGTTATATCTTCCTTTGAACAAAACCTTTTTAAATACAGTGACTTCTCTATTCTTTATAATATTTTTTCCCTTAAATCTTATGCTGTAACTATATTAGGTTTGTTTATATTGGTGTTTGCCTACATGTTTTTCCACACTTTTACTTTCAACCTTTCCATGTCTTTATTTTTTTATTTATTATTATTTTTTATTTTTTTGCAGAGAAAGATTTGCCCTGAGCTAACGTCTGTTGCCAGTCTTCCTCTTTTTTTTTCCCCTCCCCAAACCCCCAGTGCATGGTTGTATGTCCTAGTTGTAAGTCTTTCTAGTTCTTCTATGTGAGCCTCTGCCACAGCATGGCAACTGACAGACAAATGGTGTGGTTCCCTGACTGGGAAACAAACCCAAGTTGCTGAAGCGGTGAGAGCGCCAAACTTTAACCACTAGGCCATCAGAGCTGGCTCTACTCATCTTTATATTTCACATATATTGCTTCTAAATAGCATAAAGCTGGATTTTCATAATATCCCATTTGATTTTTCTCTTTTAACTGATAAATTTAATTGCTTTATAATTATTATGATAATAATTTATTTGAATTTCTTTCTACCATGTAATTTTTTAAACATAATTTTTCTTTTGGAATAATTTTAGATTTACAGAAAATTTGCAAAGACAGTACAAGAGTTGCCATATACCTTTCACCCAGTTTCCCCTAAGGTTAACATCTTATATTACTATGATACATTTGTCAGAACTAAGAAATTAACATTAGTACATTACTATTAACTAAATCATAGACTTTATTCAGCTTCACCAGTTTTCTCACTAATGTTCTTTTTCTGTTCGGGGATCCAGTCTAGGCTACCACTTTGTATTTAGCCATATATTTTTAATTTTTGTTTATCCCAATTTTTCAATGCTTCTTGCATGCTTTAGATTAACTAAGTTTGTTTATGTTCTTATTCCATTTTTTTCCATATGCCTGTTTGGAATTTATATAATCCACTTATATATATATAGTGTGTGTGTGTGTGTGTGTGTGTGTGTGTGTGTGAGGAAGATCAGCCCT